GTGGGGATTAATTTGCTGAAGTGGACTTGTATGAGGTTATGTTAAATAGTGAAAGAAATGTTATGCAACACACTGGGAAAGGCAAGCAGTTCTGGGGTTTTAAACTCCTCACTGCACAATTCAGTTCTTTAAAATTAAAGATAAAGGTCTCCCATGGTTTTCAGAAACCAGAATAATTGGTAAAAATAGACAAAATCAAAAGCAGGACATTTCATATACATTTTATGTTCAAATATTATTAGGAGAAATAACTACATTGATTTTAAATCTTCCTAAACTTTTTCTTAACAGATATACTTCATTACATTTTCAAGTACTGGGTGTGTTTTCTAAAGCAGAATCAAGCTATCATCTTTTTACTTAAATTGATATATAAAAATGCTCAGCTAAGAGTAAGTAGCTAAGGACTGGACTGGTCCCTAAGTTTTCTGTTATATACCTATATTAAGACCTAAGAAGAGGAAGAAAAAAAACTGCCTAGATCAGCACTTTAAGAGAATCAGAGGCACCTACAACATATACTTTATAACTATTTCTCATAACAAGTATTTTACAAATGTCTCAGTGTTTTTCCTAATGAATTATAGATTCTATTCTAACCATTGTAAGAAAACATCTATTGAAAACTGACATTTCTCAGCTAAGAGATCTTGAAATCTATTACATTTTAAGTGACTAGTAACTACAGCAGGCAAATAATGTCTAATAACAATCCGTATATACTTATATTTTATAATTTTCAAACCACTTTCATGTGCATTAAGAATGTGATTCTTAAAATGGCCCTACAGGTTAGGCATTATCCCTATTTTAACAGATGAGAAATTTCTAAACAGAGAGTTCAGAAAAGTTAGGTAATTTCCCTAAAATCACAGTATTTGTAAACATCAGAGCAGTTACCTTAACCACAGTTTTCTGGGTCTAAGACCAGTGCTCTTTCCACTTCAACATCCTTCTGTTTCTTAAACATTACTACATGCTATGAGAACACTAGCTGCTACAGCTACTACTGGAAAAGGAATCATCCTGCCTGTGCAATTTCATTATAGAAGCTGTTGAATTCTCAACTAACTGGCAAGCTTTATTAATCAGAATATGCTATTCTCTAACATGCCAACCACGATACTATCTAGTACTATTTGCTACACATCTCTAAGATTAATTACCTGGTGTAACGGGATCTTCTCTTTACAGGATTCACACTAACCCAGCTGAAGTCACAAGGCTTTAGATTTGCCACAAGAGAAAGTCCAAGCCATGGCTAGGAAGGTTCTTGAATGTTACAAGTCAATTCCATATTTTAGGTTGACTAAAGAATCATACTTTTCCACAGAATGAAGCCCTAATATGCAAGAAATTTTCCCATTAAATCTATCTACATTAACAAATCATTGATGAAACATTAAGAAAAAAACATTTCTCAGAGTAGTTCATGAGTATTGTTTCCTCTCTCAAATGCAAACTCATCCTAATGCCAAATACACTTTTATAAAACCACTTACCTAACTTGGCAAACAGATCTACATTTTGTTAGCTTTAGTCATCAAAGAATAAAGCATAAGAACCACTCAACTTATAAAGGTTGGGTGTGTTTGTGAATGAACATGAAAAAAAAAAAAAAGAGTCAGAATGAGTGAAAACACTCAAATCTATTGAGTAATAACAAAATTAGCAGTTATTCCCTATTACCTAAGGGACAGTGTGGCACAAATGGCCAGATTAGAAGCCACAACTGTTAGTATAAACTTGCAACTAAAGCTAGGTCTGTTGATTACTGTTATAAAGTCAAATTCACTATATATCCCATTCCAACCATCTACCCATCCCCTAAGAAAAAAATGAGCAGAGCAAATTGATAGCTGGACTTCTGTTTCATATCGTTCATATTGTAATTCATTTGGGAGTCCTCCGATCCAGAAAAAAAAAGATCTGGAGTTTGAAGTAGAACAAAATCTCATCTAGGATACTCTGACAGGACAGATCGATAACGAAAAGTGGGGAAATCAACAGGCTAGAGAGAACAGCAGGACCTAGTAATATGAAGCTGAAGAAATTGTGTAGTAAATAATGAGAGGTTAGGGACTCATTTACCAATAATAAAAGGGAACATTAATGAGACCATAACAATATTGTCGCTACTAACAATGATAGCTAATGTGTATTGCATCCTTACTACATGCCAGGTCCCAGGCTTACATGCATTCTCAAAGCCACCGGGGAGGTAAGCATTATTCCTACTTTGCAAGTGAGACACTGAGGCTTCAAAAGGCTAAGTTCATTGCCCCTGGTCACAACACGCATACCTAAATCCCGGCCAAGAGATTCAAACCCAGGACTCCAGAGCTCTGGTTCTTAAGCAGTATTATTAAGAAAACAATACTGCCCAGCCTGGACCACTCTTGGGCCACAAACATGAAGCCATGAAAAAGTATTCAAGGTTATCCAGTGCCCACCACAGTGCTTACCACGTAAGAGGATGGCCAAGGTCTACTGCATGAAACATTCCTTATGTCCCACAACTGAATCCTGCTGTTCCAAAGAGCATGGTCATTAACAACTCCCAGGAAGGAATTTTTTTGAGTGGCAAGTATAACTGGATTGGGGGCGAAGGGAGTACATCAAACATCTTCTAAGGCCCACTCTGTGAAGTCTGATCGAAAGCAGAAGATCCTTGGTAGATGAAGTATAGTATGGGAGGTGTGACTCTTAGCAGAACAAAACAAACCAAAAAGAAAGATCCTAAATTGCTGCTTAAGTTCAAGCTTTATAACTCACACTGTGCTAGACAACATCCTGAGAATGTCAAGCACTTCATTCTGACTAATGAAAAGAGTTTCAAGAACAAGATACAACACATTCCTGAATCAATCAAGACTAGACACAATATTGATTAAAAAAAAAAGAAAAGAAAATTCGGCAATAATTCAAAGAGAGGTCTTAGGTCCTTTTTCCTTCTAAAATGGGTTCTGCTTATTAGAAAGTTTAGTTAACTGGGTATCAACATACAAGGGCTGAGGAGAACGGAGAGCATCAGAAAAAAGTCCTAACCACTGACTTAAGAGTTCCTAGAACACTCCAAGCTCTTCCCTGCTTTCGAACCTTCATACACACTGTTCCCTTTGCCTAGAACCCTCTTCAGGTAAAAGAGGGTTAGGCTTTCCAGACAAGCCTTCTCTGACCATCTTATCAAGCAGACTGCCCTCTATTATTTTCTATCACAAAACCCAGCTTGTTACCTTTATTACTTTCCCAACTAGTAATTTTTCAAGTTGAGCTAAATAACCTTCCCTCCCCCATCTTCACAGGGGGATACCTCCATGAGGACAGTTAGAGACTGTTCAATTCTCTATAAACTCAGCATGAGCGTTTTACGCAGATGCTCAATAAATATTTTTTGAACCAAAAAAAAAAAAGTATCCAGCTATTTCAAACTGTCAGCCTCCCCACCAATAAAACAAACAAACCACCTTGTTTTCATAAGCTTTATAAGTCACCCATCTGGAACAAGAAATACAATTCTAAATTGTCATTTTGCCATTTCATTTCCGCCCCCCACCACCTAGATTCTAAAGCTGTACAGTCAGGAAGTCAGTCTTATACTTCATCAGTATAATGTGCTGTGCAACACAGTGGACATCCAATAACTAATTCAATTTAATGAATGATCTTAGGGCCTGCACAGAAAGTGTCCTCTAAGCTCTGACATCATCCTGTCTATATATCTATCACTGGTTTTTATGTACATTAAAATTATTTCATGGGGAGGGTGACAGGGATGTAAAGATAAATAAAATCCTGTCTCTTCTTCCTGAAATACGGCATGCTCTATAAACATGAAATATTCAATAAATGTCTGCTGAACCTAACTAAAGACAAGAAGCCCTTTAAGAAGAATGGAATAAAAAAGTAACCATGGTCACACTGACTACCAAGGGTACCCCGACCCTTAATCTGTTAATAATTCAACACAAGCAGTTTGCTAAAGTTGTCAAGAGATTTCTGAGATTCCCTGTTTTAAAAATAGCATTACTACTCAAAATTCCCCAGTAAATTTAAGGAAATGGTCCCTAACAGGCTCGGGCCTGGTATTTTCAAAACACCCCCTGTCAAGAGCCATACAGAGCTAATAAGCATTCCCACTGGGGAAAGCCATTAATTAGCAGAGCTGCCTCAGATGTCCAGACACTACAGTATCCCTTTGACCCCTGTCTATTTCCTGCATCTCTCCATTTAAACCGAATTCAGTCTTTTTTTTTTTTTTTCTTCCTGCATGCAATGCTAACACAGAAATCCCTGGCCTGGAACAAAATGCCTCTCCCAGGCCAGTGGCAGCCTACCTACCTACCTTACAGGTGGCACAGGCCTGGGCAACCCGCCCCCCACCCCCATCCCCTCCAGCGCACAGAAACCCTGCAAAAGTTTGAAAACGCAGGTTCCAAGAGGCCCGCCGAGCCCGAGGTCAGCTCGGTGGTCCGGCTCCAGCTGTACCCGGCGACAGCCAAGATGGCCCTGAGCGGGGCCCACTGCGGCGGCGGGGCCGAGGGGCGCCGGCCAGGGCCGCTGTCTCCACCGCCTACCTGAGCGGCGTCAGGGACCAGGAGGCAGGCCCGACGCCCCTCCCGCCCTGCCGCAGCCCCGAGCCGGCGCGTTCCCGGAAACGGGAGCCGGGAGGGCGCCAGGTAAGCGGCGGGGGCGATGGGGGTGGCCGCGGGGGCGGTCCCGGACCAGGTGGGCCCCGGGGGCCGGCGGGGAGCCCGGTAGGGCCCAGGGACCAAGCGCAGGCAGAGGCCGCGGCCGGGGCCTATGCGGACCGGAGCCCGGATCCAAGCCGGGCCGGAGGCGGCAGGGAGCGGGGCGGGAAGCCGGGGAGGGAGAGAGGGAGAAGCCGGCGGCTGCCGTGGCTTCCTCAGCCGGGTCCGGGGGCGTCCGCTGGGGCAGGCCGCGACGACGCGGGTTGCCGCGCTAGGGGGCCGGGGTCTCGGCGCGGCCGCGTTCCTTACCCTGCATGCTGCTGACGGCCGGGTGGCCCGGCGCCGGGGACCCTACGGGGCCCGGGGTGCCGCTGCCGCTGCCGCCCCCGGAGCCGCCGCCGCCGCTCGGGCTCGGAGCCGCCATTGTTGGGAGTGAGGAGCCGAGCGGCGCCGCGGCGGCTGCAATGCAGCAAGCTCGGCCTCTCGCACGGCCGAGGGGCGCGGCTTGCCCCCGCCTTGGCCCCGCCTCCGACACGCCCAGGACACGCCTCCTGACACGCCCCCGCCCGAGCCCGACGCGCTACCGGCTCCAGATGCTGAGCTGCAGAACCGCCCCGCTAAGGGTGAAGCAGACAGCTGTCTTGGACCAGGGCTGGGGGCCCGCGGGGCCTAAAGTGGTTTGCGGAATTAAAGGTGGGCCTGCATTTGTGGGGAAAGAAGGTACACAGCTTTCATCATTCCCATGGAAGTCTGTGACTCCTAAAAGTCCCCTTTCTTGGAATCTCAGAACCCCAAATCAGAATAGTAAAGTTGAAAAGGATCCCAGGGATCCCTTTCTTCTCCAGTCGCTAACACATCACTTCCAGAGGGGAGTTACCTATAGCTATGGTTACAGTCTGGAGCTCCTCTTAAGCCCAATACCCCAACCCTCTACACTTCTCTGAGGGAAAAGGGAAGTCCTAAGGGGAACTAGCCATAGTGCTATCCATGGACCCATCCCAAAACTACTGAACTAGAGGCTACATTTTAATAATACCGCCCGTTAAACTTGAGAAGCATATCTTTAAGTACTCAACGCTCCCCAGCCTCCTGAAATATGCTATCTACATCACCATCTTCTCCTAAATGCACACTGGATTCCCTCCCCCAAATCCTTTACATCTTGTATAAGACTAGCCATAGTCGTTATTGTAAGTTACATAAAATGACAACCCCAAAAAACAATATGAGGTTTCTTCCATTGCTTTGCACAGAGACTTTTATTTTTAGGAAGACAGTAGCTAAAAGAAGAGAAAGTTCTCTATGGGGTTAGGATTTGTGAGCCCACCACAATGTACTTGAAATGGTAAGACATGGGTTTCTAGCCAGGCAGCCTTGCCTAAAATGGAATAGCCAGTTATCCTACATCCCAAAGAATGTAAGCCATGGAGCTGGACATTTTCTCCCATTTAGAAGCATCGTGTGATCTACACCTAGACTTCTTTCCCAAAACTTCTTCCACCCAGACCTTATTTGATGCTGCGAGTTCCTCACAACATGTTGGAAATGTGTCCTGGGTCAAAATAGCCCTGCCTTCTTGTTCTAAACCCAACTTCATCCATCATCTCATCTTGAATGCTCAGCTCCTAAAAGTGACTAGTCATAAACATCAAGTGGAGAGGCATTAAAGACAAATTGAAGGTGAGAGCAGGTAGGTGTACTTAAGTGGAGAGCCTGCCAGAATTCTCCTCCATGGGCCTCGCTGGCTACCCAGTATCTTCAAGTCCAGATCTTACAAATATGGTCAGATCCTCATGTGGAAATCAGTAGCCCACCCAGCTCTTGTTGCTCCTGGGGCATCTTAATTGTGAGGCCCTTGAAGAGGAAATCTTATAAGAACCCAAAAAGAAAAATCCCCATCCAATTGTTCAGCTCAGGCCACGCACGGTGGCTAACACCTGTAACACTTTGGGAGGTAGAGTCGGGCAGACCAATAGAGCCTAGTAATTCAACACCAGCCTGGCCAACAGCTACTCAGGAGGCAGAGGTGGACCACCTGAGCCTGTGGAGGTCAAGGTTGCAGTGAGCTGTGTGAGCTGTGATAGCACCACTGCACTCCAGCTTGGGTCACAGATAACTGTCTCCAAAAAAAAAAATTGCGCTGAGTGCGCGGTACAATATCTGTCCTACCCATATTCTGGCATGGCTGCAGATGGGAGAAGAAACCAATAAATGACCAAGAAAATGAAGAAGCTGTCAACGGGCCCCGTCAACATTCTCTTCTTTCTACGGCACCAGCGCTGCTGAAAAGTAGCTTTCTTTTTTTTTTTTTTTTAAATTATACTTTTAAGTTCTGGGATACATGTGCAGAATGTGCAGTTTTTCCACAGTTCAGTACCACACGTGCGCATGGTGGTTTGCTTGCACCCATCAACCCATCACTACATTAGTTTTCTCCTAATCCTATCCTCCTAGCACCTCACCCGCGTGAAGGCCCCAGGGTGACTGCTTCCCTACCCTGTGTCCACTGTGTTCTCATTGTTCAACTCCCACTTATCTCACTGAGGACGTGCACTGTTCCTGTTTTCTGTTCTTGTGTTACGTTGGCTGAGAAGGATGGTCTTCCCAGCTCATGCATGTCCCTGCAAAGACCATTGAACTCATTCCTTTGTTTATGCTGGCGATAGTGTTTCCATGGTGTCTGTGCCCACATTTTCTTTATCCAGTCACATTGATGCATTTGGTTGGTTCCAACTCTTTGCTATTGCTGGAACAGTGCCATCAATAAAAATCATACGTGTGCACTTGTTCTTTATAGTAGCAATGATTTATCAATCCGTTGGTATATACACCCAGTAATGATCGCGGGTCAAAATGGTATTTTCAGTTCTAGATCCTGAGAGAATTGCCACCACTGGCTTCGCACAATGGTGAACTATTTACACACCCACCAAAAAGTGTAAAGTGTTCCTATTTCTCCACATCCTCGCCCAGCATCTGTTGTTCCGACTCCTTAATGATCGACCATTCTACACGTGCATGAGATGGTATCTCATATGCTGGTTTTGATTTTGGATTGCATTTCTCTTTGGATGGCCAGTAGTGGATGAGCAATTTTTTCATATGGTCTGTTGCTGCCATAAATGTCTTCCTTTTGAGAAGTGTATGTTCAATATCCTTAGCCCACTTTCTTTTGATGGTGTTGTGTGTCTGCTAAAATTGTTTAAGTTCCTTGTATGATTCCTGGATATTGCCCTTTGTTCAGATTGGATAATTGCAATTTTTTTCTCCATTCTATACGTCTGCCTGTTCACATCGCGAATGATAGTTTCTTTTGCTGGCAGAAGATCTTCAGTTTCATTAGATCCCATTTGTCTATTTTGGTTTTTGTTGCCATTGCTTTTGGTGTTTTAGTCATGAAGTCTTTGCCCATGCCTATGTCCTAAATGGAATTGCCTAGGTTTTCTTCTAGGATTTTTATGGTTTTAGGTCTTGCATTTAAGTCTTTAATCCATCTTGAGTTAATTTTTGTATAAGGTGTAAGGAAGGGATCCAGGAAATTTATTTTCTTTAGAGTTTATATTTTAGTACCTGCAGGCATAAGTATAAAAAATCAAATAAAATACTTTTTTCAAAACATCAACACAACTTGATGATTAGATGATTAGAAAAGGTGCATGAAGGAAAATAGGGAGCCTCCTCCATACCCCCAGCAGGAAAACAGTTTTATATTTCCTTTGGCTTGGCCACTTTGGCATACAGGGAAAAGACCTCAACAGCCCCATAGTCATCTGGCAAATGTCTCAAATGTAGTATCCTGTCATCACCAGGCTCTAGATGCAGGATGATCAAATACCACCCAGTTTTACTGGAGCAATTTTCTCATCCTTTATTGCAGTACTTGCCAGTAGGGTTCCAATTTCCCTTATCTACATGTCACTTGTGTGTACGTCTCAGTTCTGCTTTCCGCTTCCTTGGGGACTGGAATGGTGCCAAGAAATGGCTTGGGGGACTTTAGTCTTACCATTCCCATAAGCATTATGACTTTGGGAGGCCAAGGTGGGCGGATCACGAGGTCAGGAGATTAAGACCATCCTGGCCAACATGGTGAAACCCCGGCTCTACTAAAAAGTACAAAAATTAGCTGGGCGTGGTGGCGCATGCCTATAGTCCCAACTACTCAGGAGGATGAAGCAGGAGAATTGCTTGAACCCAGGAAGCGGAGGCTGCAGTGAGCCGAGATCATGCCACTGCACTCCAGCCTGGACAACAGAGGAAGACTCTGTCTCAAAAAAAAAAAAAAAAAAAACCATGAAAATCTTACTTCCATTCTTCAATGTGCACCGTTGATATATTTACAGTCTCGTATAATGTGCTATAAGCCCTCTTTTCTAATTATACATATTTATTTATTTATTTATTTATTTATTATGTTTGAGACAGAGTCTTACTCTGTCACACAGGCTAGAATGCAGTGGCACTGTCACAGCTCACTACAGCTGAGATCTCTAGGACTCAAGCGATTCTTCCACCTCAACCTCCTGAAAAGCTGAAACTACAGGCATGCACCATGCCCAGCTAATTTTTGTAATTTTTATAGAGACGGGATCTCACCATGCTACACAAACTGGGCTCAAACTCCTGGCCTCAAGGGATCTACCCACCTCAGCCTCCTGAAGTGCTAGGATTACAGGTGTGAGCCACTGTGACTGGCCTTTAATAAGAATTTAATATATATTCTTTTAATAGAAATCCTAGAAGCGACACTGCAGATTAGGCAACTACTAGAAAGTTAACATAAACACACACACACACACACACACACACACACACACACATATCCACACATCCAATATTGTAAATAACAAATATAAAAGAAGGCTGGAGGTGTTGGCTCAAGCCTGTAATTCCAGCACTTTGGGAGGCCAAGGCGGGTGGATCACTTGAGGTCAGGAGTACAAGACCAGCCTGGCCAACACAGTGAAACCTTGTCTCTACTAAAAATACAGGAAAAAAAAATATTACCCAGACGTGGTGGCGGGCACCTATAATCCCAGCTAGTGGAGGAGGCTGAGGCAGGAGAATCACTTGAACCTGGGAGGCAGAGATTGCAGTGAACCGAGATTGTGCCACTGTACTCCAGCCTGGGTGACAGAGCAAGACTCTGTCTCTAAAAAAATAAAATAAAATAAAATAAAATGTGTATCTATATACACATATGTATAATAAATGATAAAATACTTCTTTCAGAACATCAACACAGGTTGCCAATGATTAGAAAAGATGGATTAAGAAATAGGGAAAAATAATATATATATATATGAGAAAACATTCAACCTAGCAAATTCATTAAGGGAAATTGGGAAATTGAATTTAAAAAGAAATACAATAAATATATAACTAATCCTATTTTTTGTCTAATAATACCTAATTCTGAGTTTGTGATAAAACTGACATATACTTGCATTGCTGTTGGTATTGTTAACCAGTAAGGTAAGAGCCAATAAG